CATTTATGCGCCCTTCCGGGAAACGATCGACCGAGCCCAAGGGCGTGTTTGGCTGAGCATCCGGCATCCGGTGTTCCAGACAGCGGCAGCAAGACGAACCCGCGAAATGTGTACTTGGAGTTGTACCAAAGGTGACCTAAGACTATCGTGGGTAGTAGATCTGGTTTGTGTTAGGAAGAAATTCCCTGGTTGAAATCGATTCAATCGCCGCCTCTCCCCGGATAGTGAGAAACTTGGCTAGTCCCAACATCGTAAAGCGACTATATTATGAAACATGGTGGTTCGGATGAATATGGAATTACAATACCTGCTATGGTTACTATTGTATGATTCTAAATAATATACCACATGTTTGGCACAGGGTAGTTGCTAATCTAGAAATGGATAGTTATAATTAACTTGATAAAGGAATCACAAGTGTACAAAGGTTAATTGCCTTTTTCGCAAAATGTTGTCGAGTTACGTCCACTTATACAGCCTTGCATAATCCTTGGAGTCATTTTATTTCTGGTTCATGACGGGTAAGTCTAGCTGAGTACCTTCTCGTACTCAGGGTTTATTTTCCCAATGTTGCAGATGGCACTGTGTATCATGGTTATTGCAAGAGTTGCTTCTATCCCGCTGTGGATGAGGAATAAGCCTTGGGCAGGCTTCCTTAGTAATTCCTATCTTTGCTTTTGTGGATCGTGATCTGGCATGGCACTGTATCAAACTACGTTGGAAACTTATCTTCGAACTTATTTGCTTTCGCTTTAATTATCAAACTTGGTTTGTAATAACTTTTTATTCGTACTCTGATGATGAAAAGTATCTGTGAACTTTATGTAATATGTGGCATGTATGTTGAATCCTGTACGATCTTGGTTGTTGTAAATCGTTTATCGAGACCCGTCGTGGTACTCGACGGACTACCGGGTTTATATGGGTTCAAGTATGACAGTGCGACCGCTTGCGGATTGCCATTATACTTGTATTCTTATAAATTGGTCGGTTCTGCGACACCAGTCACCCAAAATACCCCCTCTCTAGTATAAAGGGGCGGTGGCACCGCCCCACCAGCGGCGGTGACAAGGCACTGCACTGCCCTCGTTGTGGCGGTGGACACCAAACACTCCGGTGACCACGCTAAGACTGCCCTTCTCGACCAAGTCCTAGTGGGCACCGCCCTAGGGGTGGCGGTGCCACCGGACCACCAGTGGTGGTGCCAGGCTCAACTTGCTGCTCTCGGCCTCCTCAACTGGTCACCGCCATAGGGGTGGCGGTGCACCGGACATGGGGGTGGCGGTGCCCCTAGGGCAGCACCTTGAGCCTAGTTTCGCCTCCATTTCTTCACCTTTTTCAACACCTTTGCAAATGTGCTAACACCACCAAATGTTCACCAACTTGTGCACATGTGTTACCTTTTCACAAACATTTCCTAAAGGATTAGTCACTCAATTCACCATGCCACTCGATCCTAACACATATGCAAGGTTAGATCGCTCACATGGCAATAGATGACCGATATGCAAACAAGTTTGCTCCTCTTAATAGTACGACCATCTATCCTAAACCTGGTCATACACTTCTCTACACAACCTTTGACCGGTGAAATAAAATGCCCTAGGTTATACCTTTGCCTTGTGCATTCCACTTCATCTCTTTCGATGTCGATGCAACACATGCACCAACCAAACACCAAATGATATGATCCACTTCATATCATCATGTGACCGTATTGGTTCATCGATCTTGACTTCACTTGCTCTTCACCGTTGCCTCGGTCCATCGGTGCCAAGTCATCACTCAACTTGTCGTTCACTCTTGCAACCGGTCCGTCGAGCCAAGTCTTGTCTTGATCTTCTCTACCTTGATCACATGACTCCATGTCATATCTCATATGCAATGAGCTCCTTCATCACATGTGTGAGTCTTGCAACAAATCCAAGCCATCTTCACCGTCATGGCACGAGTTGCTCACACACATGTACTTGTGGACTAATCACCTGTGCATCTCACTCAAACACATATTAGTCCAATTACCAAAACCAAACAAGGACCTTTCAAACCGATCGAGGCCGGAGACAATCACCAACTCTGCTCAATGATCCTCCAATCACCGGGCCATCTAGGGGTCAGCAAACAGCAAGAGTAACAAGCTCACAACCAGCCTAAATCACCCAACTAGTGCCATAAGATGATGCAACTCAATGCAATGCACTAGAGGCTCTCCAATCTCACTCAAGATGATGAAATCAAGTGAATAAGTGAGTGGAGTGTGTTGCTCAGCTTCCAAAGGATGTGCACAAGTGTATGAGGTGCTAAGAGGGTGGCCAAGGTTGGCCACACCCTCTATTTATAGCCACACAAGCAAATAGAGCCGTTATACCCTTTAGAGCTGTTTCTGCAGGTCACCGGACAGGGCGGTGCCTAGCACCGGACATGGCGGTGACCTGCCCAACGGTCACAAACTAGCCGTTGGGGCACCGGATAGGGTGGCGGTGGCACCACCACGGGGTGGCGGTGACCACCCAGCCGAGCCCCCTGATTTCCCTGCTCTCTGGATAAAAGGGGCGGTGCACCGCCGCACCCATGGCGGTGACCATGGCGGCGCCCCCCTTTGCTTTCGGTGCTGTCGGGTAAAGAGGGACGGTGGCACCGCCCTGCCTATGGCAGTGACCAGGCGGTGCACGGCTGGCGGTGTACACCGGACATGCCGATGACCGCCCTCCAACACGCTTGTCTCGGCCACCTCCAGGTGGGCACCGCCCTAGGGGTGGCGGTGCCACTAGAATAGTGGCAGTGCCAGCCTCAGCACCAGCGCTTCTCTGCCTCAGCCAGCCGGTCACCGGATAGGCCAGGGCGGTGCACCACCACACACATGGCGGTGACCACCCCGAGGCAAACTCCTCTGTTAGCTGCGATTTCGTTTCTCGATTCGATCCACAAGCAGTCTAATGCTCTTTTTCAAGCGTTGCTAACCCTCAAAGTGTTTTCTCAAAACATGTTAGAGCCAAGTTAGCATTTCTCAAAAGATTTTCGATAAATATTTTCGCTTGCTCTCCGATGTGCACTAGGCCTAAATACAATGCATGAAGTCCAACCCCTAGTGACACTAGATGACTGAATTGTCTAGTTAAGAACCCCTACGGCCATCTATCATAAATGTGATCACACTCTCCAAAGTGTCTTGATCATCGAAAAAACCTATTTATACCTTTGCCTTGATCTCCATAGGGTTTTATTTTTCTCTTTCTTCTTTTTCAAGTAGAGCACTTGATCATCATCACATGTGGCCATCTTCATTATTTCATGTGATCATCATCACTAATTGAGTGCCACCATGCTCCATACTTGGTTTGCACCAACCTAGCTCATATCATATCTTATGACAAAAGTTAGTGCATAGGTTTTATCAATTATCCAAAATCAAACTAGGGCTTTCACTGAGGCCACCCCATGTTCTTATCCCATTTGAGAAAGCTAGTAGCAATCCAACAATTTCTGGAAGCAGCGACTGCGATGCTCACTTTCTTTTGCCATTCCTATAGGTTAATCAATTAATGCTGAACATGGATATACACCACATTTACCCATAACTGCATATTTTTCTGTCAATGTTTCTTCATTATGCAAACAATACACACCGCGCTAAAGTATTTCTGGCAATGTACCCAGTAGGTTTCACTGCTACCATTATTACATATTAACTGACAAATGTACTAATGGATCATGCATCTCTTGACTGTTAAGTAGTGCTTCCCCTCCCTGCCATCCTTTGATGTCACACAGACAATTTCTTTGTCTTTAGCTTATGTTCCATGTATCAGGTATAAAGACAAATAAAATTCATAAAGTTGTTGACCTTTAAAAATTGATAAGAATTTAATTTCCTTCCGTATATATACTTTCGTATTCAATAAACTGATGGTATTTGATAATTAATGTATGCAGGGTACTCTAAAGTCACATCTACATAGGAAAATTACGTACACAAGGAAGATTAGTATTGACAGAGCCAAGCTTGGATACACTCTCTCATTAAACAAAGCATGACAACACCTTCACTACCTGCAATGTCTTAAAAAATATCCAGCACCTAAACACGGTAAGCTCTAATGCTCCACAAAAAACATTCTCATATAGCAAGCTTCCTGAATAGCGTGGTCAACAAAGCTTTTCATTCGCAGGTAAATAGGCATCAAATTGCTGTTAATCAAGCTCTGATGATACCTGCTGAAAGTTAAATTTTTTTCCACATTATGCAATGACATCAGCTGTACAAATAGAAGAGATTCAGAAGACTTCAAACGATGATCAAGAGGTGATTCAGATAAACTCCTTTTTTTTCAAAATATAATAACCATAATTAAAACACATGACAGATTTGAAGAGAACTAAGACAACCCACGCACAGATGAAAGGCAAATAACAAAAGTACTCAAAATTACTGTTTTATGAGTACCCTCAAGTCTTCAAGGCGCTATGGCAGCCATCTCTTTTTCTATTTTTTTTCTCCTTTACAGTTGCTACAAGTATTAGTGTATTACAACATCAACAATCATTTCGCAAATACCCCTACATAGATAGCATGACGTAAGCTATTACAACAATTTATGATTGCTCTACAAATTCTCAATTTTTGTACCATTCAGCTTTAGTGTAATTTCTGACTATGACAGAACTTTATATATGTGTGCGACCATATATCTTATGTACAATAACATCCAGAATTATGACTATTCATATCTAGCTGGAGGGCCATTTGGCGCGGCAACGCCGTGCAGTGTTCTAGTTAGAGAACTGAGAAACAACCACGGTTAATTTCTTAGTACATCAAAGAACCAGAAGTTGCATCTTTTTTCCCTGAATAATCATCTCCACTCCATTTCTCGTGCTTCTCATATATAATCATAACTATCTACACCATGCAAGCCAAACAAAGTATCAAAGCTAGCTAACATGGTTATAAAAAAAAAACTAGCTAACATGCACTATTCTAAATGCTAATTTTCACAACGCTAATAACAGCAGCTTGTTTGGCCAGATCCCATGAATTGCGCCAGGCCATTACCAAAGCGGCAAGGCCTCGCCATGGAGCTCAGGAACGCCGTCTCAACCTCCTCCGAGGCCCCTCTCCTGAGCAAACACACCACATACTCCATCACTGCCGCGTCACAGGGCAGGGTGATCCTCCTGCCGTCGACTCCGCAGGCGAACCCAAATTCCTCCTGGGACATCCGAAGCAGATCTCCGAAGATGGCCGTGGCAAGGTAAGCCAGCGGGACCTCAAACCGCCCGCTGTCAGCCGAGTACACGACGCAATGGCATTTGTCGTCCACTGACGCTGACGTGCAGCAAGATCCTTCGGTTTCTTCGTCCAACGTCGATTGCGGCGCGAGCCTTTCCCTAGCGAGGGCCGCAATTCTTTGCCACTTCTTCGCCATCTGGACTAGTCTCTTGGCACTGATCATGGTTGTTCGATTGGAAGTTGAAGGCTCGTATGAGGTGGTGTTCAACTAGGTTAGGTGTGATGCTAAGCTTGCAGCTTGCTAATGCTTGCAGCTCCACTAAGATGATGAATTTATAGGTCGGGACTCCTGAAAATCATTGAGCTGTCAAGAGACAAGGTCATAAGCTCAGAACATGCAGTGTTGCAAGGAAAAAGCCCATAGTTTAAGAGTATAGGACAGCACAATGTGCTCATACCGACATGTGCCAAGAGGCATGCGGCACGCCATATGACATGAGGACCACATGTAATTTGGGTCCAATGTGTCAGGACCTGTCTGATTGTGTAACGCATCTACTATTTTTTTTGGTCAGTTAGTATGTCCTGTTCAGCATCTGAATTGGTCAACTGGACAAGCATCCAGATTGACATCTGACAGGGTCTGACAGTTGTTCATGCCCATAACAGGCCTCGTTCGGCTCCCTAAAACTTGGCTAAAACTGACTGAAAAACACTGTTCTAGCTGAATTGCTGTGAGAGAAAAACACTCTTCCGGCTGAAAAAAGAAGCCGAACAAGCTGGTTTCTAGTAAGCCGAACAAGCCACGTCGTCTCATGTAAACTCCATGTCGTTCAGCTTCAACAGTTCAAAAAATCTAATCTACAGCTTCAACTAACTGGTTGTCCATTAGATTACCGGCGTCTCATGTAAACTCCATGTCGTTGCTGCTTCTTCAAAGCACTGAGCCACGGCCCTTCACACCTAAGAAGCTTACAGCAGCAGCAGTTATGTTATCAAATTATCTAGGATTAAGTATAATTTACACCCTCCAACTATCATCAAAGTATAGATTTCAACCTCGAACTTCAAAACCGGATAACTTTGGCTCTCCAACTTTTGAAAAAGTTCAAATTTCAACCTTCTGGACGGTTTTGCGTATGAACAGTGCTTTTGATAATTTTAGGAGACGTCGAAATTTTATATTATTTTTTAAGCATCTTAACGTCCTCAAATGAAAAAACTCAAAACTAGATCTCATTGAGAGTTACAACTTTGGTATAAAAAGTATTTTCATTTAACTCCATACAAATAATATATTAGTGCTCTAATGCTCGATTATTATGGTGCTGAAATTTTATATTATTTTTTTGAGCATCTTACTGTCCTCAAATGAAAAAACTCGCTATAAAGTTGTAGATCTCATCGAGGTCTACAATTTACATATAAATTATCTTCATTATCGCCATCGTATTGTGAAATTAGAGTCTCATCACGCGACAATTTTATATTATTTTTCGAGCATCTTACAGTCCTCAAATGAAAAACTCAAAACTACAAAGTTGTAGATCTGTTCATTAAATAAAAACCGTTGTAGCTCTCAATGAAATCTAGATCTACAACTTTGTAGTTTTGAGTTTTTCATTTGAGGACGTTAAATGAAAAATTAAACTTTTTCAAGAGTTGGAGGCCAAAACCGTTATTTGAAATTTGAACTTTTTCAAGAGTTGGAGGGCCAAAGTTATCCGGTTTTGAAGTTCGAGGTCAAAATCTATACTTTGATGATAGTTGGAGGGTGTAAATTATACTTTACCCAATTATCTACTCTAAGCCTCTAAAGTCCTAGCTCTCGTATCATTGTGGTACTGATATTAATACGCAGTATTAGTCTTCAATTCAGACAACTTGCTCTTGCGGCCAGAGTTTTACTCTCAATGTTATTTGCACTTGAATCCAGCAAGTACCTTGATGTATCAACTATGTCTATGACGCTCAAGGTGAGGCCATCTAGGAAAAGGTATCAAAGACATGCTACTCCAGTTGTTTGCAGTACCAGCCAGTGGTGCTGCATTACATGACAGCTAAACCGCTCAATCATCCCAGCTGACTGCATTGCGCTGATTGCATGACAGCTAGCCAAAACTAGTCTGTCCCTCTCACTTCACCTTGATTCCAATTAACATGGGGTCTTGTAACACCCATGAATAGCAAGGTGCCCAAGGCTTTAGCTGACAAGTGGACCACCCACCCATGGGACCCAGGTGGAAGACCAGATGATGTGTATAAGTTCCAAGAGTATGAACTGGGGAGGCTAGAAAAGAAAATAGAGAAGAAGACAGAGGTAAGGAAGCCAGGCTTCCTACTCCGTATCGAGATCCCCTCCGACCTTCGATTGTTGCGGCTCACGTCGCCGGCTTGATCTCACCGGCGGCCACGGGTCGTGACAGTTGGTATCAGAGACGGTGTATCCTCGGCGTGGGGGGCGACGGGCGACCGCAGCTCTTCTCCGCGCCAGTTATCGGTGGTGACGATGATTGTTGGCGTGTCAGCGGCGGATCCAGTGGTCCGGCGCGGCGACTCCATCGATCCTGCGCGTTCCATCTTCTTTGGCTCCGGCGGCACTCGGCTTAGGCTCCATTTTGTTCCGCGGCGGCGACTCCTTCATCAAGCGTGTGCTGCAGCGGCTCCTCCCTGCGGCGCATCTTCTGGTGGTGTGTGGTGACACGGGTTCGTTGGAATCCGGTGGCGAGTAGCGGGGATTCCGGCGTGTGGGCGGCGGTGTGCGACAGTGGTGCTGGACGGCGGGCTTGGAGAGGTGGCGTACTGGTGTTGGCGACTCTCGACGGCCGACCGGCTTCCACTCGAGGCGCCCCGACAGCTGGCGGTGGTGACCACCATAAGTTCCTACAAGCGACATCGGCGTACTTCCTCGGATTCTCTTTGATTCGGCGGGCGACGTGATTGGGGGTGAGCCGATTTCCTTCGATCTGAGGCCTCTTCTCCGAGCAGGCAACTGGCAGTGAGCACCTGCTCTGTGCTTTGCCCCCCAGGTGTTTGTTGGAATGTCACATCAAGAGAGTCAGCACCCAATGTTTGATTTGTCGTCTCATTCAGAAGTGGTTTGGGATGAGGAACCGCAGCAGTTAGATGGAGAGATGGATGACCTGCTGGAGTGCAAGCACACCATGTTTAAGGCAGCAATTATGTCCACCAGTGATGCCCAGAAGGTGCTCGATGAAATGCCTAGTGTGGTTTTGTGGGATGAGGATAGGTCACCCGAGCTCCACATGAACAGTGATTTGTTGCAGCAGCTTGCTCAAGGTGGAGAAGACTTGATTGGCGAACAAAACAAGCCAACCACAGAACTATTCTTCATCGATGAGTTCTGTCATGTCCACAACACTTCCTTTATCTCAGGGCATGCTGATGATTCTATTAATGAGGTTTTCACTGAAAGGCCTCTTGAGAGGGTGATATGGGATGATGGCAAAGCATCGTATGAGCAGATAGCAGCAGAGGTTCAGTCGGTGTCAAAGGATACTGCACACAAGGTGTTTCATGAAATTGCAACAGAGATCATGTGGGATGAGGAATCGGGGCATGACCTCAACTTGCAGGATTTATTGCAGCATTAGCTCATGGTGAGGAGACGAAAGTAAGTACTGAACCCGCCATTGATGACTTGCTCACTCCTGTGAATGACCAGTTTTCTATGTTGGCAACTGGTGAGAAAAGAATTCTAGTTGCTGAGCCAACTAAGGATGATATGTTCTTAAATCAACAACACCCACAGTCTCTTCAACTGGGCAGAGATGCTGTGTATGAGGCATTTATTGAAATCTCTTTTGAGGAGAAGGTGGCAGCAAAACCAATGAAAGAGGACACAGTGGTACAAGTGCTTCTTGATGAAATGCATTGTGAGAATGTGGTGTGGGATGAGACGTCAACTAACCTTGCTGTAGTCTCAGATGTATATTCGTGTGCGCATGCTATTGAGCTAGACACCCATGATGTTCTTACAAATGTCAGCAGCTTACCACTATTTCTGGAGTTGGATGCATTCTCTGCAGGAAACATGTTTGAGGGCATGCTTAATAAGGACATAGACAAGGACATATCAGTTGGGCTTTTCCAGCTGTACCAACCATCAACAAAAGGTGCACAGCTAGAGGGCAGTAGTATACCTCTCTCGCCAATCAACAAATGGTCTGATTCTGGTGGTGATCTTGATTCAGTGGAGCTGCACATGACGAGAGCAGAAATATGCCAGGTAGAGGCCAGTTTAACTGATGAGGGTAATCTGAAATATGACTTAGGTGCAGCAGGGAGCACACATCAGTTACCGGCCTGGAGTCATGGAATTTCCAGTCCAGGGGAAAGTGAGACACAGCTTGAGTTGTATAGGATGTCTGATACACAATGGGATCCAGGATTGTGTGCCCAGGATTATAAATACAGAGTTGATGTAGATTTCAATGAGCATCGCACGGCTCTCAGGCCATTGGAGAAAGCTCTTATGCTGCAAATTCAACAACATCTCTCTGCCAATGGAACTGAAAGAACCATTGTCCTGACAGAAATAAGGCTTTATTGGGCTCCTTATGTTATCAGTCGGTGCACAGTGCTAGAATATCGAGCATTTAAGTGCCAAAAATTGTGCAAACTATACAATTTCAAACGAGATGAAACTAGTCATGGAGAAGATATTCTACATGCTTCAGTACTCAATGAATTCTTGACTTGGATGGTGTGGAGATGCATATCAGTATTACATCTTGATGGTCCATGGGATCCTGGTATTTTTCATGCCGTTGCTTGGGGACAAGCAACATTTTGTGGGGGTGGAAATGATATATGTCAACGCATGTTACAGTCAGGTTGTAAAATGGAGACGCATGCTACAGTCCTGGGTGCCAATGATGTATTGCAGCATATCAGTGCTTGTTCTCTATTCCTACAGCTTGGTCGCAGAAAACTATATAGGGTGCTGTCCAGTGGTGGTGACTCTTCCCAATTCCTAAAACCTGGCATATATGTAACAGACCAAATGTTTCGGGAAATACTTGGTCAATTCTTCTGTTCTAAGGCCCAGAGATTTGCTGCTGAAGAGCTATACAGCATTCTTGACCAAGTGGATGAACTATTGTTGTTTCCTGACCAAAAGATCGGTAGACCATGGTGTGACACTGATCGGATATGTGAACTGATTCTATCTCGGAGAGGCAATGGTTTCAGCCCAAGCAAATGTTTGTTGCAACTAAAGCCATACATAGTGAGACAGTGGGATCTAGGAATTTCTGGGATCTTTAGTCATCGAGATACAATTCATGGTCATGCCGTTGCTTGGGGACAAGCAACATTTTGTGGGGGTGGAAATGTAACACCCATGAATAGCAAGGTGTCCAAGGCTTTAGCTGACAAGTGGACCACCCACCCATGGGACCCAGGTGGAAGACCAGATGATGTGTATAAGTTCCAAGAGTATGAACTGGGGAGGCTAGAAAAGAAAATAGAGAAGAAGACAGAGGTAAGGAAGCCAGGCTTCCTACTCCGTATCGAGATCCCCTCCGATCTTCGATTGTTGCCGCTCACGTCGCCGGCTTGATCTCACCGGCGGCCACGGGTCGTGACAGGTCTTCGTGTTACTTCCACGCTAAACCGCTCAGCATTGACGCCTTGCCGGTGCCCAATCCAAGCAATGAAAGTGCAACATGACTGGCTCCGGCACATGCCAAACACTTGGTCCCATCAAAATCTGATCCAAAGCAATGCACACATGGCATGTTTGTAGTCTTGTCCCTTGCCAATCATCCCAGCTGACTGGGATCCCTGATCCTCCCTTCATCTATATATTCATGGTCTAATGTCCTCCAAACACCATCACTTGCAGCTTCACAAACAAAGCATTCTAAACTCAACCAAGAGCTCGCCAATTTCTAGAACAAGAGACGAAAGAAAGAAGTAGCCATGACAAGTGCCAAGATGATGGCTTAGCTGGCCAAGAAATGGCAGAGGATGACATCACTTGGAAGGAAGCGCCTCACTAGGGGACAGCAATGGAATCCGATGAGTGTTGCTCCTCTGTGGCAGGCAAGGGCCACTGTGTGGTGTACACAGCCGACGAGAGGCGGTTCGAGGTGCCACTGGCATACCTCAGAAACAAGGTCTTCAAGGAGCTCCTGCGGATGTCCCAAGAGGAGTTTGGCTTCACGAGAGATGGGCGGATCACCCTCCCTTGTGATGCTTCAACCATGGAGTACGCCATGTGCTTGCTCAGAAGAAGTCTCTTCGGAGGTAGAGAAGGCATTCCTGACGGAGACGGGGATCCCGATCTTCCGTCAGGTGATGGTAACTATCATTGTGGCGGAGAATGACACACCGATCCGGCTTCAGATCGAAAGATCGAACCCTGCAATCTTAGCACCACAGCTCCTCTGGTTATCAACCGAGTCACGGACCAGGTTGACCTCGCCAAGAAGGCTAATTCCTGCCTGCGCAACGAAGAACACAAGCAAGAACAAGAAAGAACGCAACCAAATTGCAAATGTATGATTAATCTCACGAGTTGGGATCTCACAAACCGAAGAACGGCGAAACTGTTTCTTGACAGAATAATCTAAGCAAAACCCAAACCCTAATTTAGGTGGTGGCTACTGATTATATAGCCTAAGGGACGTCCAGAGATCTCTCTTCATGTCCTAAAGGTGTCCCAACACGTTACAAGGCCCAACGGCCCAAAAGAAGGTGTTGCAGCACCCTGATAGATTCTGGACGCTGACTTGTTTCGACGATTCCCGTTGATTCCGAAGAGATTTTGATGTGAAACCACTTGGATTGGCTTTCTTATCAAATTATCTTTCCATCCATATGTGGATCATCGAAAACGGAGTTCGGATGCGTCCTGGGCGTCCGTTTTATTGCAGACTGGTCCTGATGGCCGAGGCAGACTCGAACTCGGATTGGACTGGGCCTCTGGCTTGGCTTGGACGTCCTTGCTGGCCTCCTAAGGTGGTGGCCAAGGAGGAGGACGTCCAAGGGCTTTCTTGATGGGTTCTCCAAGTCCTTGGGGTGTGCTCCCACTTAGGCTAGGGTCCCAAGGATGAATAACAAGCCCATAACGATAGTGTAGCTCCCAGCAGAAACAGCGACAGAATATATTGGCGATTTGAAGGCCTTGTCGATGTGATATTGAGATGGAACCAGATCTATTTGAAAGCTTATCAAACAAGCTTTCCATCAAATGCTCATTGACCTCGATGGCACTCCGGATGGATGAGTTATGGCCTTCCCAATGAGGCACTATCGGACTGCCGATGAACCGAAAGTTCAACTTTGATGAACTTCCATTATGAAACACATTTGAACCTACAATCAAATAGTGATATGTACATGTGGAACCAAGTGAATTATAACCAAAGCCACTATGCAAATATAGGAACGAGCGCACCTTATAATCATTGTTCATATCCGAAGGTGCCATGTCCTCATCATCCTTCCCTTCTTGACAACAGACCGTCCTCGATTTGGGATTAGATGAAGAAAACATTGTTGGTAGTAGCCAACATTGCTCCCCTTCTTGAAATTTAACATGTTTCTTTATAACAAAACTAGGGGAACTCGACATGACAAGATTATAGCAATTGCAATCCTTTGGTTGATCATACTTTTGCACAATATAAGGAGATTTTAGATTTGAACAAATATAGACACGATGCACCATATACTCTCCTTTACAATTATATTTTCCAATAAAATGATATGTATGTCTAGAGAACCATGGCAAATCAGCATATGTATAAAGTTTCTCCTCTAAAGAACTAAGATTACACGGAACATCAAATTCAATGTAACCCAAAGTATTTAAAGAAGACAACAATTTCAGCTCATCAACTTCACTAGCATTATGAATAACAAGTCTATTTTCAGCACAAGTGCTCATTTCCAGCACACATATAGCGTGATCATTCTTCAATGATTGTATGGGTATAACATAAATATCATCATGCAAGTCATCTTCGTCATAAGAAACATCAAGCAAATCATCTTGTGACAAAGGTAAATCAAGCGAATGCTCCACTAAAATTTGCTCTATCATAGCATGATTGATGGAAAAATTCAGCACATCAAGAGAACTCTCACCTTCTGTGAGGTTAGCATCATGGGCATTACCTTTGCTCTCATGTTCAGCAGGGGTAATAGTTGATGGTTCTAAATTTTCACATGAGACTGAGCTTCTCATTTTCTGTCACGGCATCCTTGCTCTTTTCTACATTGTCCTGCAAAAGGTTAGACATAGCAGGAGGAATAACAACAGACTCTTCCTCTAAATGGTACACCTCATCATATGAAGTCAAAACAGGAGATGGATTAACAAAGGTTTCTCGCATAAGAAATTTCATATCATTCCAAGTTTGAGGCTTATCAGAAAGATCTAAAGACTCCCACCAAGATAAAGCAGAATGTCGCAAAACACTAACTGCATTTTTTACCTTCCTCCTTGGACACATAAGGCGAGTAGCAAATATGTTATCGATAGCAATTTCCCACTCCATGTACTCATCAAAGACCTATACCATCATAAGTCGGTGGATACGAACAACCTGTCATTGTAAACACAAAACAAGGAACAAACAGTGAAGGTTATCCCTAATAATCCTACTACACAAGTGGAGTGGTGCTGCCTCTCAAGATCACAAAGAAAAGAAAACACCTTATCAAGCTCTTACAAGGTTCTTACCAACACAAAGCGATGGACGGTACAACCGTGGTCGGTGCCGTGATACAGTGAGGGTGTAACACCAAGATTGCAAGGGTCTTTTTTGTGCCGATCTGAAGTATATGTGGAGCTTGGGAGGCACATAAAAGAACAAATATGTATATGTGGCACACAAGTCGGATGAATGAGAATATTGAATAAATGTCCAGAGCACCTATCCTAGTTGCTTGGCCTATCGTGTTCCTATCACCAGTTGTGATAAACAAGAGAGGAAACAAGGATGAAAAGGAAACAAGTATTAAAGGTAGCAACGGATATGAACAAGGCAAAAGGTACCACAAACAATAGAGCTATTGAGTGTTCCTTATGTGCTCCTTTTCGATATCTTCTATTCTCTTTTACTATTTTTTTTCTTTTATTTTTTGTCTAATCTTTTTTTCTTGCTTTTGCTCTTTTGATATTTTTTTTTCTCAGCAAGGAGCACACAAGAATAAACCACAAAAATTTGAGCTCAATTGAATAAAAGATGTGGCCTATAGAAAATTAGGACTGTGCTCTAAAAAGCATACCAAAACTTGTGGGCTCAGAAACTCAATTTTCCTAATCGAATTTCGCAAATCTAATTTTTGCGATCCCAGCTATGCTGGGATGAAATAGATCTAAAATTTTCTGGCGTTCTTCGTAGATATAAAATTTGTCCCGTTTCGAGTTCGGATGCAAAAGTTATGATTATTTTAAGGAAGCTACTCGAATCAGGGATTTAGTGGACACAAGATGCAAACCGATGGTGATACGAAATAGCGGCGGGTGAAAGGATCAACACAAACTAGAAAAGAACACAATCTAAACCAGCAACAAGACTTTGACCTAGGACACAAACTCAACAAAGCGGACTTTGAAACTGAAATATGCAAAGGCTATGGCGCGGAAGGTTCTAAGACAGGAAAAACAAGTATGGCACTGGACTATGGGACGAATGCGAAACACTCAAACGAGGGAATAAATGTGAACCTGACGGTATACCTTAGCTCTGATTACCACTTAATGGAGACGGGGATCCCGATCTTCCGTCAGGTGATGGTAACTATCGTTGTGGCGGAGAATGACACACCGATCCGGCTTCAGATCGAAAGATCGAACCCTGCAATCTTAGCACCACAGCTCCTCTGGTTATCAACCGAGTCACGGACCAAGTTGACCTCGCCAAGAAGGCTAATCCCTGTCTGCGCAACGAAGAACACAAGCAAGAACAGGAAAGAACGCAACCAAATTGCAAATGTATGATTAATCTCACGAGTTGGGGTCTCACAAACCGAAGAACGGCAAAACTGTTTCTTGACAGAATAATCTAAGCAAAACTCAAACCCTAATGTAGGTGGTGGCTACTGATTATATAGCCTAAGGGACGTCCAAAGATCTCTCTTCACGTCCTAAAGGTGTCCCAACACGTTACAAGGCCCAACGGCCCAAAAGAAGGTGTTGCAGCACCCTGACAGATTCTGGACGCTGACTTGTTTCGACGATTCCCGTTGATTCCGAAGAGATTTTGATGTGAAACCACTTGGATTGGCTTCCTTATCAAATTATCTTTCCATCCATATGTGGATCATCGAAAACGGAGTTCGGATGCGTCCTGGGCGTCCGTTTTATTGCAGACTGGTCCTGATGGCCGAGGCAGACTCGAACTCGGATTGGACTGGGCCTCTGGCTTGGCTTGGACGTCCTTGCTGGCCTCCTAAGGTGGTGGCCAAGGAGGAGGGCGTCCAAGGGCTTTCTTGGTGGGTTCTCCAAGTCCTTGGGGTGTGCTCGCACTTGGGCCAGGGTCCCAAGGATGAATAACAAGCCCATAACGATAGTGTAGCTCCCAGCAGAAACAGCGACAGAATATATTGGCGATTTGAAGGCCTTGCCGATGTGATATTGAGATGGAACCAGATCTATTTGAAAGCTTATCAAACAAGCTTTCCATCAAGTGCTCATTGACCTCGATCGCACTCCGGATGGATGAGTTATGGCCTTCCCAATGAGGCACTATCGGACTGTCGACGAACCGAAAGTTCAACTTTGATGAACTTCCATTATGAAACACATTTGAACCTACAATCAAATAGTGACATGTACATGTGGAACCAAGTGAATTATAACCAAAGCCACTATGCAAATGTAGGAACGAGCGCACCTTATAATCATTGTTCGTATCCGAAGCTGCCATGTCCTCATCAATTCCTAAGCACCATGGAATCGCCATGTATCTATGCAAGTTGTGTGGTACCATCTGCAGGAGTTAGTCAGCAGGTTGCTGTTTGCAGCTTCTAAAATGCATGTAAAGTAATAGTGGATTGTATAGGTTGTAGGACAAGTGCATACACCTTTTTTTTATCCTGCAAGCAATGAAGGAAGATTGCAACATAGCAACTTAGAGCCATTATTCTTGTTATTTGTAAGTATGGTTCATTGTGTCGATAAATGACTAATGACATTTTAGGAACTTTATGAGGCAGCATGTTTCCTCAGCAAAATCTTCTGACCTGAGAACCAAATCTTTACTGCATGTGGCGCGGTGCAAATATTGCCATTTTCCCATAGTGTCTGGATTAACATTCCACGGTTCCTCCAGGCCTCGACAATGAATCCATGGTGAACAGACAACGATACATCTGTTCAACCAAATATGAAACTGAAATCATATAATTCAAACCTGCACAATTGTAAAATTTCAGTAAATAAGCATGTCCATTGTATCCGCCTGTGACCGGAAGGTCCCGGATTCGAGTTGCGGTCTCCTCGCATTGCAAAGGCGAGGGTAAGGCTTGCCACTGACACCCTTCCCCAGACCCCGCACAGAGCGAGAGCTCTCTGCATTGGGTACGCCCTTTTTTAATCATGTCCATTGTATCCTAAGCCCACAGCTTACCACTGTGGAAATAGTCATGTCTGTTAAAAAAAAGTATTGCCTGGAGATTTACATTACTGAAGCGAGAACAAGGATACCAGCCTTGATGGATTTACAACGAAGGTCCGAACTCTCTAGCAAAAACTAGACACATGTAAGCAGAAATTGACTGTAGGCCAACTAGACAGTGCATGCAGATACCCCGAAATGGCATCACACATGCCATGCTAGAAATATGCAGACCATAGGTGGAAACGGAATTATTGAACTGTCGATCAAGTTGCATGATTTGCAGCAACCAAAGCACTGGTCACCAACATCTAAAATCAGTGAATTAATTAAGTTCCCTAATTCTTGAACCATCCTGCTGTGTCCCCAACTCCCCATTGAGGCATTGATGCTAGGTCTTTAGCTAATCTCAATCACATCAGAGTTTGAGAGAAAGAATTTAGGATCTCTGATAATTCAGATATGGCTGCTTTTGAGCAAGGTCGACCAGCTGATATCCAAACCACGTGACACAGGACACTGAAACAGATATAAGAGGTCCATAAAAGCTGGACCCGGTATGTTTGCACTATATCTGTGACCAATTTGGCAGCTGTTACTGCCAATGGTATTAGTACAATACTAGGTTAAGGACATTGTTAGCATAAGCATGATTATTTGCAGGGATATTTTCTATTAATATCATTTTTCAACTTATTCTGCAGCAACCAAAATTATTCGACGGCATTCAGTTCTATCTCCATGGAGATTACACCAAAGTCCTACAGAGGCTACCTGCAAGACCTTCTGGTTGCAGCCAGTGGAACTGTCCTGCAGAGGAAGCGTGTGTCAAGAAATCATCAGAAGTTGCTTGACGATAGCTCCCACATCCTCATCGTCTACAGCATCGAGAATCAAGACAAGGCAAAACCCAGATCAAGGGATGACATCAATACTGGTCATAGCCAAGGTGATGCTCAGGCTCTGGCTTGTGCCTCATGTGGCAAAGTTGTGAGCAGCGCATGGATCGTCGACTCCATAGCAGCTTGCAACATTCAACCTCTTTAAGTTAAGGGATCCTTCCATGCTGCCCTAAATGTGTACTTTCATGCACGGTAGATTGAGTAATAGACAGAAAATACTGTAAGTATTAGAATGAGACTTAGGTTTCTTGATGGAAAAGCCAGATTTTATCATACCATAGTTAATCCGCTGTTTTAATTTAAAGCACTGCCACAATGTTGGAGTTTGTATCAGGTTGTTATACAATGTTGGAGTTTGTATCAGGTTGTTATACATTATGACTGCAGACGAATTCAATCTACGGTGGAATCGGTTAACTGTTCAAAAGACATGGCTTCTGTAGCTAATTATGTGGGAATTTGTAAGGAGCTCATTTACCACATCTACAAAGCAGCAAACCCCTTGTTACTGGATAAAAATTGTAATGCCAACCAAGTGGAGAATTATATAAGTCGTGAATAAGTGCAACACATATCAAGAGTGATATCAAAATTGATAAGTTACACTGCAGCTGCTAATCAAAGCTGACTAGCTGGCTAGTAATGTACCTCATGTAGCAGACTCAGCTAAAGTGCAGCACGATGTCAAGGTCTACTACGTCATGGTATTGCGCTCCATCGGCAAGCGTCATCACTCATAAGTCAACGCCCAAAAGTGCCATCATTGTGTCTATCAAAACAGTTATCATTTCTTGTTCAGAAGAATGAGTACTAGAGCAATTGGCCTATTCACCATTGAAAGTTTGCAGGTCACCCAGGTATCCACAGGAAGGGTACAGAGAAGAAAATTAATAAGCCCACAGCCACTTTTTAAGTGAAATTTGACCAGAATTCAGCGTTCTGTTAAACAAAAAGGTTGTGCCAACAAGTCAGATCATGCAGAGCAAACTGCAAATAGTTTTATTTATTTATTCATAAAAGAAAGGCATTCCTTGTTTACAATCTAGTCGGTCACAAATAAATGAACAATATTACAGCACATGGGTACCTCCGTCCCAAAAAGAATACCATTCTAGGTGCATTCTTTGTTAAATATCTAACTTTTGACCAAATTATATATATGGAATGGAGGGAGTATTAAATATTCAGTGAGAAGATGACAAGTATCCTCTGTCTCTAAATACTAAGGTCAAATTTGAATGCCTTCTCCTTGTTATATTTATTCATTTTTTCTTTCCTTCTTGAGGGGAAATTAAAAGTACAATCTTCATAGTTCAAATCCCATAAACACGCCCACGGCCTATTTCATCGGCCACAATCTTAAGCAGAGCGAGTGTGTCACTGCCATTCTCGCATGTGGCATCAACCACCGTATCCCCTTTCTGAACAATATTTCTCCACAACCTAACCATAATACGTGCTGAGCATGTTTGCGGGAAAAAAAACAACCTAACCATAAACACAAACACAAAATTAGCTATCACCATCTCTAAGAGTCTTTCTAAATTTCACTCCTTAATTAATCATCATTTGGAGAGCCATTTACATAAAAATCGCTTTCTATACCTTTTCACTCTCCAACAGTTTTTTTATATCTCATGTGCACTCTAGAGAGCCATTCTCGTCTTCTATATTTGGCTAGCGAAAAATCCGGAATAGAAGATGGCTATATTTGGATGACCATTTAGATAAGTTGTTGGAGGGTAGTTTTCACCAAAATCTCTATTCCTAGCATTTAGAAAGGATATGGAGAGTCTCTTGGAGATGCTGGAAGGCTAAAATTGTACTGGGTGGCTACTTGGTAGTTTCAGAAGAATTCCAAGCTGTTAATTTCAACAATTTAGCGTTGGAATTGAAGTTTACAGTATACACATTCTAACATTTATTCAACAATGGGGATTAGTACCTACGCGTGGGCTACCTCGGTGGCCTTCCTCTTACCGGTGACGAAGCCCACCACCGCCTCCTCCACCCCTGCGACGGAAACGCACTCCAAAATTTCAGCAAATTCGTCTACCGATGCCGACGTGAAGAAAAGGCATTAGAAGAGAAAGAGAAAGAAAAAAAAAACAAGTTCGGCGAGCTGTGCAGCGGAGGCGCGAACGGAGATGTACCTCCTGGGCCGGCAAAGGGGTGTGTCGCAGCTGGGTCCTCGCCGGAGGAGAGGGGTTAGGGTTTGGGAGCGGAGGAGGAGGAGGTGAAGGCGCAGCGATAGTGAAGAGTGCAGCGGTGGCGGCATCGTGGCGGGCAACTGCGAGTATGCGACGGCGGCGCAAATCGAGGCCGGAGGGGAAAAAATAGACTGAAGCTATCAATCAAATACATACAATATGCATGATACTTATGTCTTTGGACCCGTATTCCTGTGTTGGTTAGATGGTGTAGACGTATGCTATAGGGTTGGTTTGAATAAGAATTGTGATTCCACCTTGAGCCGAGCCAGCCACTACGGCAGTGCCGCATCCAGGAGCGGCACTGGAGCGGCAGTGCCGCACTCTGGTCTGCAACTCTATGCAGTTTGGTTCTTCGGTTCGATCGTTGACTCACGCTTCTTATTTAAATCATCTTCTATGGTATTAACGGTCTGTTTGGTTTCACTCTAAAAGTTTAGTGTCTCCTTAAGTCTAAAGTTTAGTGACCCATGTTTAATTATAGTGACTAAAGATCACTAAAGCAGCTGCTCCATGTACACTTTAGTCACTTTTAACTACCCCAGCCATTAAACTCTAGTTGTCCCTGAACTTTAGTGAGATGTTTGACATTTTAGTGACTAAAAGTGACTAAAGTTTAGTCACTTTAGGAGGGGTGAACCAAACCGACCCTAAATCTACACTCACCATAAACAACTAATATAGTCCAAATCTTTTGCATAGATGTTCTCCGGTGGAGATGATGATGAATAGAGGGTCAAGAGAAGACACAATCCAGATGCTCCAAGGCAGAAGCAGCCCTCTCAACATGGTATTGGAAGAAATGCTCTAGTTGGCAGAGAAACTAGAGCTGGCAGTAGCAGTGGTGCTGCTAGAGACAGGGGAGAGCAAAGATGATGTGTTCCATGAGGAGGAGACACTTAAGAGAGCAGGACATGTGATTCCTCCTGGTGCTTGTCCTCATACTCCACCACGCACGAGGATTACGACTCCTCTTACATGGTGAAGTATTATGAGGATGTGATGGAGAGAAGACCATATGACACCCGTCCTCATCAGGTGGTAAACTACAAGGGCAAGCAAAAGGTAGTGGAAGGGCACGTGAGGAAGATCCTTTTGAGTAGCCAAAGAATTTGGGAATTGACTACAGGCTTTGGAATGAGTTTCATTCCAACTTCTATGCCTCCATGCTCTTCAACTCCAAGAAGTCCAAGATCAGCAAGATGCAGTATATTGACTAAGAGAAGATGCAGGCGAAGCATGACCCTGAGTTTGACAAGGTAACCAAGGATTGTGATCACTTTGGGCTTTCTGACTTGATGGCCTTCAGATACAACTAGAATGTGGAGGTACTCGCTCAGTTTCATGCCACTTATTTCTATAACATCCTCACTTATGAGATTCACTGGATGACCGAAGGTCGACACTATCGTATTGATTTTGCCAAGTTGGTGGCATTTGAGATGTCACTCAAGATGAGTCAAGAAGAAGCCTCTTCATCAAGCAAAGGTAGTGCACTCACATGTGGTGAGCAAAAGAAGATGAAGGACAAGCAAGTTGAGTCAAGCTCAAGCTCAAACTCCTTAAGTGAAGATGGTAGCACCGAGATGATCTTCCTCACAATATCCACATCACCTAACTTTGTCAACCCTATAGAATTGACCTCGTTGATAATTAGATTCAAATGAGAATACATGTCCTTCACAAGTTCATTTTCATTCATTTTAAAAGAATCATAGGTTGATTTAGCTAGGCAATGTTTTTGCTCACGGACATTACTTGTGCCATCATGGAGCTCATGTAGTTTGAACCAAATTTCATGTGTCATATTTAAGGTGAACACTTGGTTAAACATATCCATGCTAAAAGATTTATACAAGCAATTTTTATCTCTAGCATTGAAATAAATTTCTTTTTCATCACCCGCCGTGGGTTTATCGGGATTCTTTAGGGGTTTCATCCTGTCATGGGTGACTCTCCAAACATCAAGATCTACCGCCTCAAGATAGTAAGCCATTCTAGCACAATAGTAGAGGAAATTTGTGCCATCAAAGTGCGAAGGCCTAGAGGTATCCATACTTCCCACTCTAAGTAGCGTCGGCTCAACGACGGTGAAGCCAATGGGTCCAAATGTGAGCCGACCGGCTCTGATACCAATTGAAAGGACCGTGACGCCTAAGAGGGAGGTTAATTAGGCAACTTAAAATTTTACTTCTAACTATGGCCTCTAATTTTCACCTTAGTAAAACATATGCAAATAAATAAACTATCTAAATCTGCAACTACGATTTTGCTACGTGCATTGCTATCTCTACCACAAAAGGAGTTATGCAACCTAGGTTCCAATCCTATCAACTAAGCTAGGAAAGCAAAGCACACAACCAAGGTAGCAATATAAATACGGAAGCTAAAGATGAGATAGAGATATAAACTCCTATCGATGACTCCGGTATTTTTACCGATGTATCGAGAAGCACGCAAGCTTCTCTCTAGTCCTCGTTGGAGCCCCTCGTAAGAAATCCCTCGTAAGGGCCAAGCCCTCGGTCAGGTAACTCCGTGGATAGCCTTGAGCCTTTCCCACATGCAAGTGGGTCTTTGATGTGCCTTCCAGCATGCCTCTACCGGACCGCTCCCCGACGTCTTCACTATCAAGCTTCCGGCTGAAACACCGCGGGCCTTGTTTCCTTCGTGCACGGTGGCGACCACACCACAAACACGGTTGGTGTCGTCTCGCAAGACTACAAGCCCCTCCGATGTACAACAATGGCGCGCATAAGCACAGAGTGATAAGATGTATGCAAACCTCACTAAACACTAGGCCTAATACCAAGAGCAAGTGCAAAGCGGTGGTCTAACTAACCTAAGCACTTCGCAAAGCACCTACTCTAATCACCGAATATTTCCCTAAGCACTTTGGTGATTGGAGCACTTGGTGGTGAGTCTTAACCCTCCCCTACATTTGGCAAACTCCAACTCACTTATTTTGGGAGGCCATGGTCCTATTTATAAGCCCCAAACAAATAGAGCAGTTGGGAACCTTGGAGGGCATCTCTGCGCACCTCCGGGCACTGTTCATTGGCCCTAACGGCGGGTGATTACTATTCATGATCGGAGCTACTGTTCATTGGTCCGACACTGTTCATTGGTCCTGGCGGTTATTGTTCATTGGTCCGAAGCCCTCAAACGGTCACTAACAGACGACCGTTTAAACCGACCGTTGCGCGCACTATGAGGCTGATAGGTGGGGCCTCACTCCGGACCATTGCTGCATGGTCCGGACCCTTTGTTCGGACTTAGTACGGACCCTTGCGCGCTCTCTGGAACCTCTCTGGACGCCTCCGGACCTAGCTGTTCAATGGCCCCGGTAGTACTGTTCATGGTCCGGAGCTACTATTCATTGGTCTGGACTGCTGTTCATTGCCCCAGACGGTCACTGTTCATAGGGTCCGGAGCTCCCTGAAACTAGGGTTTGCAACCGGACCGAGGGTCCATGGTCTGGAGTCACTGTTCATCAGGGTCCGGAGCTCCCTGTGATGCTCTCTTCTCTTCATTTCTTCGCGACCTTTGCGTCCGGCTTGGTTCCATTCTCTACAGTGCGGGATCTAGGATTTTGGCATAGGGTATGCCGCATCAAAATTCTCATATGCGATCTAACATGTGTGATGAAGTAAATTTACCGTAACAATGCGGTAAGTATCCCTTCAAAATATGTGTGATGAAGTATATAGGAAAACAAAAATATCTGTGTAATAATGCTTCAAAATTCTCATATCCTATGGCGAACTTTCTATACCACAAAAATATGTGTGATGAATTATATAGAAAAACAAATGGTAATAATGCAGTTAAAGTATCCCTTCAAGAAATGATGAAATCTAACATCAGTTATTGATAATTAATATGCAATAACAATTTATAATTTTTTCATCTATTGAGCAAACTTGCGGAGTGCCACGTTTGTATGAAGGAAATGTTATCGGTAACAAAAAAAACATCAGCAAATTTGCATGCATGTCGCTGCTACACTGCCTAGCCTACGGCGCTTTTGGGCTATGTCCTACGACTCTGCTCATGTGATGTGAATGCTACGCGGCCCATTTTGGTCCAGATGGAGGCGATAGGCCAGGAGCCCAAATGTGCATCAGTCGTTTTCTGTTCCCTTTCTCCTTTGCGTCTTCCTCGTGATTTCTACGAGCACCGCCACCGCGCCACTCAGAGGCCAGAGCTGAGGCTGTGTCTGACGAGGGAGAAAGAGATGTTCTCTAGGTCTGGCAACCACCACGCAATATTGCTGGATTCGCCCCTGCAACTTTCATCAGCCAAGGGTATGCCGCACCATACCCGTGCCACCCACTAGAGTGGGTCCGCTAGTGATTCTCCGTATTTGGACTTTGCTTAATTTTTTGGGTCTTCTATTGTATTTCTAAAGTCTTTGCTTGAGGTGTTGATCATCGAATCATCACGTCGTCTTTGTCCAAGTCACGTTTGTACCCTATTGGACTACAAAGCAACCACTTGCAAACACATTAGTCTAATTTGATCTTGCTGATCATCAAACAACAAAATCCAAACTAAATGGGCCAAAGGTCCATTTTCCTTACAGAAGGACGTAGAGGTGGTTCGGCGAGCGGTGTACCTTAGCAAGCAACTCCTAGCTGCGATGATCCCACATTCGAAGAACTCAATCGTCGATGTCGATCTTGCGGCCATTCTCATTGAGCTAGCCAATGCTCAGAATACTGTTGCGAAGCCACGAGATGTGGTACACGTCATGGAATGCGCGGTGGCCGCTGTCCTTTGACTCGAACAAGATGGTGTCATGCCCCGCGATCTCCACCAAGGGACTGAGCTCAGAGAAAATAGCCTCATCATCCATCATGTGGTTCGAGGCTTCGGTGTCAAGGTACCACTTCACCTCCCCGTGGTCGCTGCCATCGTCGATGTCTGCCACGACCTTGCGCTCGTTGAGTAAGATGTGTTCGACGTCGTGCACGCCGTGAACGACTCCCTCCGGCGGCATCACCACCTCCATGAGCAACGAGGGCGACTCCTCCTCCACTTGAATGAGGTTGGCTTGTGCATGAGCCTCGTCATGCTTCTTCTTGCGGCACTCACGAGCCTAGTGCCTGCTCTTGCCACAGTAGTGGCAGGCGGCGGCGGCGATCTCTCCGCCGATGCCGTTCTTGGTGTTTGTTGAGCGCGCCTCCTTGCTGCACTCCTTGCTGTGGCCACGCCCGCCGTGACACTTGCTGGGGCCACTCGGTGCCTTGCCACGCGCCGTCGACCCGTCGGCGTTGATGTTGAGATGGGACGTGAGACAAGCGATCACCTGCTCCTCGGTGAAGTATAACTTCCCGTCGATCTCCTTGCCGATGTTGTTGCCGTCCGTTCTGCCACCACCTTTGCCCTTTGCTCGATCGTAGCGCTCCTCCATCGCCTTGAGGCGCCCACCAACTCATCTAATGACATGGACTCGAGATCGAGGAGCGTCTTGATTGCAACCGTGATCTGATGAAATCGTTCGGGAAGAGCTTGGAGGAACTTACGCACGATCGTTTCTTCATCGTAGACATCTCCTAGGATAGCGAGCTGGTCGGTGATCTTTGTGATGCAGTACCAGAAATTATTGACAGACTCTCTATTTCTTGAAGGTGAGCGCATAGAACTCTTGACGCAGAGTCTGTGCCATGGCCTTGCACACTCGATCAACGCCGATGTGCCACGTCTTCAGTGCCTCCCACACCTCCTTGGCCATGGTCTTGTTGGCCATGCTCCCCTAGAGCTCAGGTGGCACCAACTTACAGAGCGCCTCCGGGGCATTGCGATCGTCGGTGAAGTTAACCGTGCCAACATTGATGGCGTCCTAGAGGTGCCGCCCTTGCAGCATGACGTGCATCAGTACCGTCCAGTTGGTGTAGTTTGTCCTCATCAGCATGGGCCACCCAGCGTTGCCGACCTCCTTGACCATGCGGTGAAATACCAGCCCATGGTCGTTCCCGCCGCTGCCTCCAGCGTGGCCGCCGAATGGAGACCAAGACCACCGGCGCCGCGGTGATCTCGTGTTGTTGCACGGCATGAACACTGTTGATGGTCCTTAACACACCATTTTATACCATCAACCATGCCTATTTTGGTCATATAAATGACATAAACCATAATCATAGGGCTTATTTCTAACCATTTCCACAAGTTGTGATGACTATGTGAGTGTAGGAACAAGATGGCTATATACATGGTAAAAAGACTTCATCAAATGTCCATTTTGACTGCACCATGTCAAAGAGCTCGTCGAGATACATGAAATCAAGTTTTGGTTCACCCAATTCGGAGTCCGGATGAAAAGTTATGCCTTCCAAACATCGCAAGAACGGGTCGGGCTGGATTTGGGCACTGAGGGCATCAGGCGACCCCATTGGGCATCGGGCGACGTGGGTCCTTGTCCAATGGCCACCAAACTTGGTCAGGGGCCTCCACACTCACCCAGGAGCCCAAGGGAAGACCTGTCCACCCCTAAGGGACGTCGGGCGACGGCCCAAGTCACCCAAACCGCCTCTCCTTCAGACACATGCAAGAAAGCACAGTTTGGAGCAATATGGTGCATTGATTTATGGCGGCTTGAGGTCGGTTTCATCCAAGGGTAGAGAAGGATGATCACGCAGATCGCTGATGTGGCACTGGAGTAGCCCCTACTTCACATCTCCACTTTAAATAGGACCATCTCCCTCACTTGTAACACATCCCCCATTCATTCCATCACTCCAAATGAGAGTTGTACTCATTTGGTTTCTTCATAGTTTTGAAACCTTGCATAGAACTTCCAAGTTCCAAATTTCAAATACTTTGAATGTTATATATAGCTTAACAATTATGGTTTATTTTTTTATATTTTTATTAGAGATCTGTTGCAATGCACGGGCACACAGCTAGTACAATTATAAAAAATTATTTTCCTAAAACTACAGAGTTAGCACATGTTAATTCAGAAGCGGGACACAGTTACAAGTATATATAATATCCATGTTACGGGAAAAATGAAATAATGATTCTAGAACTCCACTATAAGACTCTATAGGTGTAGCCACTTGCAAAAGTGTGTTATATATGTTTAGGTAATCATTATCACTTATCACCACAATCTGCCATTAAACCTGCATATATTACATTCGTTTGACCAAAAATTGGTAAATAGAAGTTTCAAGCTTAAAATCTAAAAAAAAATTATGGAATTGTTACAAAAAGTAATGGAGTTGGGAATATGGAGAATAGAGGAATTGAAGATATAGTTTTTCTAGAAAAACTATTAAAGCATACCTTGTGTGGATTTATTCCAGCAGTAGCAACATATAGATCTGTCTTCCCAATAGTTATGCCCATACCTTTTGCCCCCAAATCATCAAAACCTAATACACAATGAACCTATAACAGATCGATCAATTTCATTTAGAAGAGTTAGCCCAATTTTCTCACCAATAGTTTTTGGTGCAGCATAGAAGCATAAATTCACTTCAGATTTATATTATGTAGACATTGTCAGAAACATTTCCTGAGATTCTGTTTTAGAAATCTTCAAGTGGAAAAGTAATAAGCCTATACCTAATTAAATTGTACGAACTCAAATGAAACTACCTAAGAACTTTCAATTGCAAAAACATATCAGTTCAACAAATGGACACTGGACATTGGAATACAAAAATGCATACTTCATTGGCTAACAAATTGTGGAAAATGGATATCATATGACCCTTATCTTTGAGGCTCAAATACACTCCCCAAGGGCTTCAAAAGATACCACTGGAGTTTTGGCAAACAATTCTAATAGTGTGTGAACAACTGGAGCATACTCCTCAAAATTATCGATTAGAACCTGTGAAATGATCAAACATCACCAAAATAAAGGAACCACTTTCGAATAGTAGATATGCACGCCCTTATAACCTGTCTTTGAGATTGTTGTAGCATGATAGTTGACACATAAGATGCAAAATCGTAGATATGTACAGCATAATAAAATGGACTTTGAAAAATGTGTGAGGTTACAAACCTTGTAATACATGGTTCTACTTTTGCCACGTAAAATATTCAGCAGACGCCATTTCTTCAAAGAGCAAGAAGCAGATGCCCCATCTATCACATTCTCTCATAGCTTTTCCAGCTCAAGAACTGCTACCAAATTAAGAAAATAAGTAAATTTGCCAACCCTATTAACACTAGTGCAAGGCATTTGTCATACTCTCTCCATTCCAAATTATAAGTCATTCCAACTTTCTTGGAAAGTCAAGTATCTTAAGTCTGACCAAGTTTTTACAATAAAAGTACCAACATTTATAATACCAAATAAGTATCATTAGATTTGTTATTAAATGTATTTTTATAGTATCCATTCGGTGTCATAAATCTTTGTAATCCCCTATATATATAATTTTGGCCAAACTTAAAATGGTTTTGACTCTCCAAGAAAGTTGGAATGACTTACAATTTGAAACGGAGGAAGTACATATTATTTTAACATTGCATGATTTCCGCAATTGGCTTATTAAACTAGCATCAACATCCTATACATCTCTTGCTACGAACCCAAACTAAAAACTTCAGCATTAAAATTGTGGATATTTTAACAGTAAAAACGGATATGGAGCACAAAACTGATACAAACAGGTGTTAAATCTGATGTAGTAGCAACCTGACACAAACAGCAATCAAAATGGTCCACAATTCAAACAACACATAGGAACCTGAAGCAAAAATTTGCTATCATGGATTCTTCCATACCAGTTTTGTTGACCGGATAAGTTAAGAGGTCGTTGGTAGCACTAGTAGAGAAATGACCTTTCATCCGCTTCGATTTTGGGCTTTAGTCTCGGTATTTTTTGCGTTCGGGAGTAAAGGAAGAATTAGTCCCGGTTGGAGCTACCAACAGGGACTAAAGGCCCCTGTCCTGGCACGCTTTCGTAGCATGCCACCTTTAGTCCCGGTTGGTGTTACCAACCTGGACTAAAGGTCCTTCAACCTTTAGTCCCGGTTGGTAATACCAACCGGGACTAAAGGGTGACCTTTTAGTCTCGGTTGGTGTCACCAACCCGGATTAAAGGTCTCCCACCGGGGACTAAAGGTACCCCACATGTCAATTCAAAAGGAGAGTGTCCAGGACCTTGTCACATGTGGTGTACAGCTGAATTGATAAGGAGTTTATGCGCGAGGAAAGAGGTCCTGGGTTCGAATCTCACACATCGCAAGAGAGGTCTCCCTATAATTTCGTTTATTTTTCTCCTGAGAATGGACCTTTAGTCCCTGTTATGTGACCCGGGACTAAAGGCCAGGACCTTTAGTCCCGGATTCGTAGTCCCGGTTGTGAAACCGGGACTAAAGCCAGTTCCCAACCAGGACTACAACCCATTTATCTACTAGTGTAGGGAAGCTATGGGTGACAAGCTGATCCCACTCCATCGTCCATACTGTAGTGTCCTACAGAAACCCCACATCCATCAGGAGGTAAAAACCCATTAGGTTAAGGCATCTTTAGCATTCAACGTTGAAGATAAAACACAAAAAGTTGCTCACCTCTTCTGGCAATTGTTGCAGACGCTCAAGCCAGTCTTTTAGATCAAATTTAGGGTCCTTCTCTGAATAGGTACAAAGCATATGGTACAGAGTTTCTGGCAGAAAGTTGCCAAAATTACGCGCGTTGTAGCTCTGTACTTGAACTTTTGTCTCTCCTATCAAATAGAAGATAGGTTAAGAAACATTTTGCATGGATGGAATGTAAGAGAGATGAACATACCTGTAAATACTTCGGCACATGAATCTCCAAATCTCGTATGAATCTAAAGTAGTCTTTAGAAGTGTCATGGTAGATTCCATCCGAGAAAACCATTTTGAACCGCCAATGCTTTTGGACATCCTGATACCAAGTAGGCATCTTGATATTCCTCATCGCAGAAACAAATTCTTGCTTTTCAAATTTGTCACTTGACTTGTAGTACATCCGGATATACTAGAACAGCACTGGACCGAGATGCTTAGGAGGTTCAAATTCCCCCGAGACAAGGTCGAATAGTGTCAAGAAGAACGCTATCATAGAACCGATCAATTTATAAGAGCACAAGTACAAAAACAATCACCGAAACTGATCAAATTCTCGAACTTGAGCCCATATAAACCCGGTAGTCAACTAAAATCTCGAAGGATTTCAAACCAACTTGCATACAACCAAGATCACAGTAATTCAACATAACATATCGTACGTTACAACATTTCGCAGATGTTCGCAATAGATTACATCATCACAGAGTCATCGTTATTACAAAACCAGTCTTGTAAAACATGCGGAAGCAAATAGTTTAACTTACACACCCGAGTTCAAATACACATACTGGTTCGCTAATCACAACCCGCAAAAGCATTCAGATAAGAGAACAGAGATCATGCCCATGATCT